ACTTAGGCCGACACATTATGCTACATCTCATCTACATGATGGGGAGGGACATATATATATACATATATATATATATATATATATATATATATATATATATATATAGGCAGCATATCTTTATTCAAGCATGTTTCATTGAATAATATAGACATATTATGTGTATTTTTTATAATAATCCTTTCTAGTTCTCTAATTTACTAATTATCTTCTTAATGTTAAGTTGAAATTCATCAAGGAAGGCGCCATAGTTCTTGTTAATCCAAATATTTTCGATCTCCTCCGAGATCATTCTGAGGGGTGAATTGCGAAGACAAACTTTAAATAACTGTAATCGTTGTTATGGTGATTTTTCTAAACACACACGTGAACGCGCTGTCATAACTATTTTAAAAATAAACGTTATAGCTAGGATGTATTTTGTAAACAGGCGTTCACAATGTAAGGGCGCTAACCAGAGATGGTAAAAATGCAACATGGCGTTAAATGTTAGTCAGCTCAAATGCATGTTAAAACATTGCTACTACGCTCGTAATAAATTTTATTCGGTGTTGGTTGCTTGCTTTATATATATATATATATATATATATATATATATATATATATATATGGTTGGATAGATGTGAGTTTGTCTCACATCTATCCAACCAAATATGTTAGCTCTATCTCTGATATTGAGCGCTTTCTAATAAGTACCGCGCATATAATATATAAATAATTATACATATATATATTTTATTTTATATTTATATACACACACACACACACACACACACATATATATATATATATATATATATATATATATATATATATATATATATATATATGGTGTGAACACTGAGGTCAACACCAAGCAGCAGTTATCTTACGAGAGGTAAGAGACACATTTTATGAGGATATGTGTGAAAGATAACAGTTAACCCTATACTTGAACAGGTTGAATATCGTGATCGAGAAATCATCCTCTTGGGTGTCGGTTCCACAAAGTAGCAGTTCGTGGGAAGAAGCTTACATTTCCCCAATGGAATACGAAGGGAATAGGGGTGGTTCGCTACAATATGCGTGGCATGGCGGGTCCTAGCTGCGATGGTTAGAACTGGTGGTACTAAGACAGAAAATAACGACTGATATTACATTTACATTTACAAAGGATAGGCCTTTGTCGATCACTAGAATCTCACTAGCTGCTGTTTAGAAATTTTTTAGTCTTTAGTGTAGTAAATAAATGTTTAAACGTCTAAGTTGCTTTTTTTAAGCGTGGCTTTGAGAAAAGTGTAATTTTAAGCTAGGCGGTTTATAAAAAAGTGTAAAAATCTATTTTTAGAATTAGCGGTTAAAAAACCGCCAAAATTACTTCTTTGTAAATTGCTGCGGATTTATTTTTTGAATTTACGGAAAAATATGTTTTTATATTTACTGACCAATGAGAGACGTGATCTCAAGCCCACGTAAAAACTTGAATGGAGCCTTCTGTGATGCTCTTTTCTTGAATAAAAGGACTCCAGTTAGAGGATGCCTTCAGAAAGCAATTAATTATCAAGATGAAGGTATTGAAGCGCCCATACTTCAAGGTCGGGGGATTAGTTTAGCCGAATGGGGTCATAAATCATCATGAGAGGAAAAAAAGAAGAGCCGACTGCTAAATCTCAAACAGAAGGCAGATTCAAACCCCAGGACAAAATCCTTTTCAGCATCTTCCAGAGAAGAATTTGAACGAAACCAAACACTGAAGTTGAACTTTTCAGTAAAGGACTACATAAAGTCCCCGTGACAACAACCGGTTGAAACCACAAGACCCCTCTGTGCTGAGACATTCTCTAGCCGTATTACTGGCTCCCATATTGTATTCATTTTTATGCTTGGTCGACTCAGGAGATTTTTGTCGCTTAGCATGTGCGCAGATTTCTTAAATTTTCGTATTTTCCACTGATGTTCTCTGACTGATTTTAACTTCATCCCACAGGGGGTGATGATCATTTTTTCTCTCCATATGTGGTCAGCTACGCCTGAATTTTCTATTTTCCCTCGTGTTACGGCTTTATATCTTTTGTATATAGCTACCAATATACGAAAAAAAAAAAAAAAGAAAAGGATTACACCTTTCGAAAATGAAAGAAAGAGAAAACATTGAGGAAACAAAAATTGCACAAGGCAGAAAATACGAAAGCGGGCCTACCTAATTTCCACATTTCTAATGTTTCAGCACAAAAGCTTTGTATGTTTTTTTTTCTCTCTGCTAGTTTAATAAATGTTTTTCCTTTAATATTTTACGCAGTGGTTGTGTCTTATTTGGGATTTGCGCCTATTTAAACTTTAGGGAGAAGAGAGAAGCACGATTTCTCTTTTCCCATTCTATTCCTATTAACGAGGTTTTTGTGTTTGGGACAAGAATTTAGGATTTAGCAGCGAGTGAAATTTTTATAGCTGCTGATTTTGAAAACATTGATGGTTTTTAGCATCCATTTTTCTTTTCCTAGTGAACAAATTGTTTCAATATAAAATTTCCCATGCATGTTAATGTGACCATTCAGCACGGATATTTTAATATACTTCGTTAGTCATTTTTCCCCATTAGCGGTTATTTTTAAAATGCGTTTTCTTAAAAAAAAAATTTAAGTGTTTTAAACATTTTCTGGTGTCAAAAACGTCTAACTTGTCTCTTTTATAAATTTGCTGTACAAATACTGCTAATAAAATACAAGAGAATATTCTTGAAAATGTCTTTATTCAGGAAAGTTGGATAAAGCTTGGATGGGGTCCCAAAAATCGATTGTTATTGATTAAATCATTCCGGAGAAAAAATCAATCCCACGCCATTAGCTGAACAGAACAAAGTCAAGTCAGATTCTCTTATAAAAAAAAAGCCATTTATTTTTACTTCATGGGAACCGATAAATTGAATTATGGGATATTCACACAAGATAACAGAATAACCAGATGACCATTATTTCCTCTTACACTAGTATGACTTTCTCGTGTAGTAATGAACAGGGGAAAGTCGTTAAGAGAGAAAAAATCGTCATTACGTCTTTACTAGGTTGCAATGCTCTCACTATTAATTCTTGCTAAAAATATTTCATCACTTCCTGTGTTTCCTTATGTAAATGAGACCGTGTTCCGTTTTCGTTAGACAGAATACTCAATCGATCATGTTTTTCCATAAGTGAGAGGGCGGTAAAATAAACGAAATCGTAGATTTCACTATTTTCCCATATACCCCGAACAGAAGGCTCACGATATTATTTCCGATACATCATTATAAATATGAAGTAATCCGAAGGGAAAAAAAATGGTCAAGAGCAAACGTTTCATTTCTTAGCTGTGATGCTCGTACTATAAATTCTCGCTAAATAATATTTCATTACTTCCTGCAATTTTTGTTATATATATATATATATATATATATATATATATATATATAAAACATTGCAGGAAGTAATATATATATCCCAGACCAAAACAAACTATTAAATAAGCGACCTAAACAAATCCCCCACCAAAAAAAAAAATGACTACGTTAATATCACATCGAAAACCGAAAAGAATAAATAAATATATAAAATAAAAAATGAAAATAAGAACAAGTATAATAAATTAACCCAAATAAATAAATAAACAAACAAGCCACACCCGCAAAAATAACCACCAGAATGGATTACCCACAATGCACCACTAACCCATATATATAAATAGTCGAGGAAAAATCTAACATTCGCGGCCTGACGATTGCGTCTAGCATGAAACAGCCTGTCACCTGTGAGTGTTGATTTCAATGTTATTGAATATATATATATATATATATATATATATATATATATATCAAGGTATGATATAATTCCAACGTTTGTACAATTTAATTTAAAGGAGGGCTGAATACAAAGTAGTGCAATATTATTTATTTTAGGATATTACACTGAAAAAATAAAATCAAAACACAATTGTAGTCGTGTTTCGATGTATCAATGCATCTCATCAGACGATTGTAAAATAAATCGTTCACTCGCCAGTAATTTACAATCACCTGATGAGATGCATTGAAACTCATCGAAACATGACTGCAATTGTGTAGCAATTTTGACATGTTTCTGGTATAATGTCCTAATATATATATATATATATATATATATATATATATATATATATATATATATATATAGTAATGATATAATATAAGCAATCCGTATAGAATTTACAGGAGGATATAGATCCAGGAGAGTTCTATGTCAAAAGACAGAGCAAAAATATTATTAAAGAATATCAAACACTTAAAACCACATAGGTAATAATTTCATGAGAGCTTTTAAAAATGTAGCTCTCAATCTTCAAGACCTATACACAAATCACAAATGAAATGGAAAAAAATATTCAAAAAATATTCCGGGTTAAAAGCAAGAGATATTGCTATTTTATTTAGAGAGTGGGAAAAGGCAGAGAATGTTGGCTTATTTTGATATACTGACCTCAGTATGTCATTTGAGAATGGTGGCAGGGTTTGATGACGGTAGAAGGGCTTAAAGTGTTGTTCAGTGAGAACAATCCCGTTTGTTTCTGTCAGCGGACAAATTTCAATGCTGATATAATTCATTCAACAAATTACTTGTAAATGATATTAAAAGAGGATATTTTTAAACATTTTTAATTACAAATTAGCAAAAAAAATTATATATAACTAACCAAGAAATTTAAATTAAATTAGCTAAGAAATTTGAATTAATTGATTATTAATTATATTCAGAGAAACATATTTATAAAGGTTTATGTACCTAGAGTCTTGAACTTATATTTTTCTTTTATATCTGTTCACACTGAACTACACTTATATACACAAATATATACATAAAAAAGATCATTTTTTTCAGTTGTTTTAGTTTTCAAATAAAGGGCCCGCTTGGAACTTTTGCACGCACCCAATATATATGAATAATTACACGCCCTCATGCACATATGTTTAGATAAAGGAGAACTAATATGAGATGTATAATAACGGATCTTAGTTCAAACTAGGTCGCTTTTTGTTCTTCGTTAGTAGAAAATAAATAAATTGAATGCCGAAATATGTCATTGAGGGAAAATATACAAAGGAAAAAGGGGAGAGAGAGAGAGAGAGAGAGAGAGAGAGAGAGAATCTGATAATACGGCCCGATTCGGATAAACTTCAGATAGACAAAAAAAAATGAAAAGAAAACAGCAACTTACTAAAGTTAGAGAGGGGGCGAAGAGAGAACGGCTCTTTTTTTAATATCTATGAGTAATATTTATCTATCTATGTATACAATGTGTATATAGATATATATATATATATATATATATATATATATATATATATATATATATATATATATTATAGAAAAAAGAAAGAACAGTAAGATATATAATCCGGTGTTCTTAATTAGTCGGTTTTTGAAACATGGTAATTCCTGTGTAGCGAAGGAACCATATTTTTAAATCAGTTAAATTATAATTATATATATATATATATATATATATATATATATATATATATATATATATATAGAGAGAGAGAGAGAGAGAGAGGCAAATTTTATATATATTATTTATGTATTATATGCGTGGTACGTATTGGAAAGCGCTCAATATCAGTGATAGGGCTAACATATTTAGTTGTATTGATGTGAGTTTGTGGCCCTGGTTTCACGCTGTTTGCGATCGTCAGACAAACTGACGATCGCAAAAAGCGAGAAACCCAAACTTATCTTAGCCGACGCGTTTCTTCCTCTGAAGGACTTTATCAAGACAAATGTAAGTATTTATATACAAGAAAAAAATGTTGTTGTTTTTTTAAATTTTTTGGTATAGGAATGCTCATGCATATTCATCAGGTTAGCGGAAATGTCAAGCAAGTTCATGGATGTGAGGTGATACTATTCAATGCCTAATAAACGAAAATGTGTAGGAGATTTTTTATATATAAATTTGATAAAGTTCCTTAGAGGACGAAACGCGTCGGCTAAGATAAATTTTCATTTTGTCTTTATTCTTATTGTCCTTTTACAGATATACTCTATCTGAAATGTTGTTTACACACACACACACACACACACACATTTATCTCTCTCTCTCTATATATAAGATGCATGGTGTTACTGGTAGTGGAAAAGAATGAGAAAACTTTACTTAGGAGAAAGGGCAATGAAAGAAAAGGTTTCAGAAAGACAGAAGATGGCAATTGTGGGTATCAGGGAAGACTGTAGATGTCATGGAAGGAAGGAACAGGACGAGAGTTCCAACGATGAGAAGTGCGAGAAAAAGGAATTATTAGAACTTACAGTTATATCTAGCTATTTTAAGAGTAAAACGATGAGACCTAATTGCCAATCAAGTAGTCCGCTTAAATCCATGTGCCTGATGTACTAAGGACGAAACCTCATTAGAACAACTCATGAAAATATTTATAGAAAAAACAAGGAGAAGTCACATCACGGCGGCCGAGATGCCAGGTCAGGGTCTATAAAATTAAGGACCTCCTCATTGAAGTTTTTCAATAATCTAGAGATATATAGCAAGAGAACCAGACCAGATATGGCAGTATTATTCAATGAACGAGTGGTAGATTTATAAATTTGCAAGATGGATTCCGACGGTGATATAATTGTCTGATACGACACAGTGAATCAAGCTTCTCAGCAGTACACCTAGCAATTGACTCAATATAATCTCTCCACTTTGTGTCAGTGGAAAACGTGAAACCAAGAAGGTCCAATGAGTTACTTTCCTGAAGGTTAGCATCAGCCATGATGATGAAGGGCGAAAATGGTTCTCTATAATGTTTAAAGTTTTGACAGCAGTTTCATTTTCGATACATACATATCACCGCCTCTTGTATTCATATCCACACAAACATGTCTATGCACAAAAGCTGAGCATCATCTACCATGTACTCATTTGTGAAAGCAGAATAACATGTCATATATTTATTACTTCAAAGCTCCCAAGAAAATTAAATTTCGGCATTAAATGACCCATAAGGTGTTGATATGCCGTTAAACAAACAAAACAAATTATATTTGTTAACTCTCTCTGCTGGATGAAAACATCTTCCCTTCTTCGGCACTGAGCCAAATTTTCTGGCTTTGCACCTGAACTAAGTTAATTTTCGTTCTGGCACAACACCAAAAATACAGATCACCCGGTGAGACTCAAAACCTACTAGAATTGAGACAAAATATTATGCGAATTTTAGCTCATAATGTTTGCTATATTTGTCATACAAAAATAAGCATATATTTGTCAAATTACATTAGAAGTCCTCATACCTGAACTTCTCAGTGTTGCCATTTAGATATTATAGGGACATGCTACATTCTAATAGTTTTCTTTTCTTTGCAGATAATTGTTAGTAATTTGAAATTTCTCAACCCATAATGTCTCTCATAGAAGAAACTTTAACTGGGAGAAAAAAGAAAAGAAATTCTTTCACGTTACGTCAGAAATTAGAGATTATTTAAAAAAATGGACGAAGCTCCTAATTCGTTGAATTTGCAAATTAACAAACTAGGATTGCAGAATCTGGACGAAACACTAAAATTTACGCTTGAATACAATCCACTGAATAATCTCACTTCGGTTGACTTCAAAGAATTGGTAAATGAAGACGTTAATGAATTACAAAAGAATTCAACAGTAGAATCGCTTCAAAAGGATTTGTTTTAAGAAATAGAGGAAGAATCAAATTCTTCCGATAATGGTGAAAATATGAAGGGTGATAAGACTGGAACTCAGTAGAGAAAGCTTTTGATGAAGTCATCAAATTTATGGAGAAAAAAAATCTTTGTTAAGTAATACAGAATGTACAAGTGCACGTAATTTGCAGAAATGTCTTACTTTAAAAAAGAAATGAAAAAAAAAGACTCGAACATCGAAAAGTAAGCCAAATGAGAAAAGAAATAAGAAAGACAATTGAAAACTTATTGAGCATTAAACATTGCAAATTAATATTTACATTCATGAAACACTTAATGATTTTTAATATATTGCGATAAGTTCTTCTGTTTTGTTAAGTTATATTTATATTACACATGCAACATTATATCCAAACCAGTCATCATATACGAACTACTCTGAAGTTCGGATATCTGGACTTCTACTGTATATTGAAAACATCGACTTGCATAATAAAATCTGACACAATTTTCGAGAAAAGCTAGAAGTCACTGAACTGTAAGTGTTTGTGTGGGTGGGTGGGGGGACTCGGACGGTGTGATTTTTTTTTTCATAAGATTAAGAAAAGGGTGACATGACTAATTGTATTTCATCCATGAATAAAGTGAATGTTTCTTTAGTGATATTCACTAAGCTGTGTATTCTACTTCGAGAAAAAAAAAAAAAAAAAAAACGAAATAGAAGATTGTGTTGCGCCGATCTTTCGAATTGAAGAATGTCCGCCTACCTGAAAAGAGAAGTGACTGTCCTTAACTCGGTTACTTTAAAACCTGAGCTCGAATTTCGACCATCTTTTATCGTTAGATCAAACCTGCGCATGTTTCTTTGTCGAAATATTTTTATTAACCTGGTTTTATTATTCGACGTTAAGTAGGTCAGGCTGAGAACTTTTTCATTACCTCGTCCTACCTGCAGATTAATAAGGGTGAGACGTCACGAGTGAAAGGAAAAAGACTTTCTCTTTAGTTTGACTCGATTTAAAAAAAAGAAAGAAAAGAAACAGAAATAAAAAGAAAAAGATGAAAGAAAAAAATGATAGTTGCCTGCTGCTAGGATCGGCAATTTAGAAATATGCAGAAACGCTTAGTTAAGTGGGTTTATTGGTGTCGAGGTTGGTAGAAGTAGTCTTGAAGACAGAGTTTGATCAGTAAATAACGAACATCACGTCAAATATAAATTTATAATTAAAAAAAAAAAGCATAATTGTGCAAACGACAAGATAGGATAATTTCTAGTTTGTTTCTCATTCATAAATTTTGATAATCCTAGCGGCACGAATTCCAAAATAATTATTTATCCCAAATCATGAACAATTCATTGAAAGAATATCTTCAGATTTTAATCTACACACTGACTGCTAACAATTCAAATAAAATGAAAGAAATCGTTTGTAATATTAGATTGGTGTATAATTATCAAACGTTTTTGTAGACGAGTTATTTGTTAATAAAAATTGCTTTTTTGTTTACTTTTTTTTAATAAAAATATTATTTTATTTTCAGGTTATCAAAATGCGTGTTGATAATCATACGCTCTGGAATAATGATTTAAAAATGTTATTGTTGAATTGTTGTTTCTTTTTTTCATAATAAATATTGTTTAAAAAACGCCTGATAATTATGCACCAACCCAATATTTCGAGTTACCATCATAATTTTTAATTTTTTTTTATTTAAACATTTTTAAAACCCAAGATGAGTTTATATTTGTTATATATGTTTTATAACATAGAATATAATATCTAATTGTTTTGCCGATAAATATGTTTGAATTTAATATTCATATATATTTTATATTTGATTTTTATAAATTATATTTTTAACTTGTATTGTTATCAACCCCCAAAAATTGTCGTAAAAATGTAAATGTAAAAATACTGGTAAAACGTCAGACTCTAACATTCAAGCTTTCCCAGCGATCAGGACGCGTGCGTACTGTCCCCAGGCCCCTCGACGAGGGAATGAAGTTTGATTTGAGGGTGGGAACCCGGGCAATGCTTTGTGACACTAGCTATGCTGTCAACATTTGCTTTTTTCTACGTACATTTATATAGATTACAAATTAAACTCAGCACAGTTGACTATTAAAGGATGACAAATTTATTGCAGATTTTGATGTCATTCTGGGGTCTTTTTTTTTGTTTCATCCAAACTCGTGAATTTATTTTGCTCATGCTAAGTCTCGAAAAGACATTATATAAAATTCACTATTTCTTATCCATAATGTTGAATGTGTTAAAATGCTTCAGCTTTTTTAACGAGAAAAATCTCAAGTTGATGTAAAAAAGTGCCGCAAAACATTGTTAATTTATTTAAAATGGATTGATCTATTATGACATATCTCTAATTTGTATTTAGATACATTGTATTTATTTTCAAATTTTCTAGTTGAATTGTTAACTGATATTGCATATTGTAGATAATTAGGTTACAATAAAATTTGTATTTTATATGAATACAACCTTATGAAAATTGAGATGTAGGAGAGTCAGGGCCCCCACATCATAGATTCAAGGTAGGGCTTGAGGCCCTTGGCCCATTTCTCGTATGTCTAGTAGAATGGTACAGGATGTCTTCAGTATAATGTGTTATGTCAGGTCATAAACTCTAACTATGTCATCAATAGGAAATGACATATTTATGTAAGATGGAATTGAGATGGATTTATCTATTATAACATCTCTCTAATTTGTATTTTAGATACATTGTATTTATTTTCAATTTTTCAAGTTGAATTGTTCACTGATATTGCATATGATCCATTACTGTAGATAATTAGGTTACTATAAAAATTGTATTTTATATGAATACAACCTTATGAAAATTGAGATGTAGTAGAGTGGGGTGGGCACGTATCATATATTTGGTGGGGGCCCACGTGACCCTTGCAACTGCTTTGCCTCAATCTAATTCATTGAATCTGAATATTACTGCAATGTTTGTTGTTGTCATTCTTTCAGTATTATTCAAATCTAAATTTAATATTTAAGAACATTTTAAATCTTTCATTAAGAATCTCAAATTAAACCCCGAATCATTATGAAGGTGATAACTGTAGCAGATCAATGAGACAAAATGATTATAATAAAAAAAATGACTGCTTTGTCGTTGAGGGTGATAGAATTAAGGATTTCTCATTGTGATGCGTGTTTCTTTTGAGGTAAACAATAGAGGTTTTCAAATGCAAATAGTTGTAAAAAAGGTAAGCAGGCCTTCCCGATAATATCCGGACCTTTCATATTATCATTTCATATGGGAGATTCCCGAAGATAAGCCATGTGGAGCGACTGAACATCCGAGTAAAATTTATAACCCTTCCGACAACAGTATTACTTAACTCAGTAAGAATACTGAGCAAAGTGCTGGAATTTCGGGGAGACTTATTGACACTTGTTATCCAGTGACAGCCATCTGCCGTTAATATTCAATGAGTAATCATTGAATGAAATGAAATAATAATAATAATAATAATAATAATAATAATAATAATTATTATTATTATTATTAAAGACCACAAACAAAAAAAGTGCCTCCTTATTGATATGGCAGTCCCTGCTGACTGCAATATATATTGAAGATATTCAAAAAGCTGTCAAAATACAAGGACCTTGAAATAGAAATCTCAAAAATGTGACATATGGGAACATCAACAATCCCTGTTGTAGTTGGAGCCCTAGGACTGTTTGGAAAAGATTGCAGTAGACTAATTGAAGGGATTCCTGGAAGTCCATGCCTCAAGGAGGTACAAAAAAATTGTTCTGACAAGTACAACCCATACTTTACGAAGGGCTTTATCTATGTAATATTTTTTTTTTGTCAGTGGAAAGTGTCATGATGCCATTTCTAACCTTAGGTCCCTGGGCGGGACCCGGAAAGAAATGAGCACACACCAGAAATCAAAGGAAATAAAATAATAATAATAATAATAATAATAATAATAATAAGCTACAAACAAAAATGCTTTCTCATAGATATAGCAGTGTCATACGATAAAAAATATATCAGTCAAAATATTGACAAAAGAAGTAAATATGTAAGGATCTTGAAATTGAAATTATTAGAATGTGGCTCCTTAAAACTACTGCTATGCCTAACTGGAGTACGACAAAGAATCATAGAGACAAGCACAATAACAAGATCTCTTCTGGCAGTCCCTGTCTACAAGAGATTAAAAAAAAATTGCACTGTGTAGAACTGTTCGTCTACTCAGGTAAGTCTTCTTATCAAAGTAAAGAAAATATAAACACTGTACTTGTTAAGTATCACTTAACATTGGAATTTGGAAAAATAGAAGGCATATATTTGGTACCTTGGCTTACCGTATGCGTTTGGTATTGCCCCAGTTAGGTAATGTACTAAACAGGAATAATAATAATAATAATAATAATAATAATAATAATAATAATAATAATAAAGAAGAAGAAGAAGAAGAAAATAATAATAATAATAATAATAATAGTAGTAGTAGTAGTAGTTATTGTTGGTGTTGTTTTATTCACAAATACAGCTGCTCACACATTACGAAGAGCTTTAAATGTACGTGGTCTTTTTTTCTGTTTTTTATTTTTACAAAAATGATCAGTGGAAAATGTCATGAAGCGATTTCTGAGATAAAGTCTCTGGTTGGGACCCTGGAGAAAATCAGAAACCAAAGGAAATAATAATAATAATAATAATAATAATAATAAACTTGAACTAATAAAGTATGAAATTCGTAGTAGTAAAGTATTAATGAAAGAATTACTACTACTACTACTAATAATAATAATAATATAAAAAATAAATAAAATAAAATAAAAATGTGAGCCGAGAAAATATGTTTATCTCCAAACTGATTGACTGTCGTCTAATCCGATGTGATAATATTTATATTCTTGTCTATGTGTTGGGGCATTAATTTGTCTGTTGTGTATCTATATACGCACATACGTAACCTCTCTCTCTCTCTCTCTCTCACACACACACACACACACACGCACACGCACACGCGCGCGCACGCAACCTGACAAAAACCACTTCCACACATACACACGCATACGCAATCTGACAAAGACCACTTCCACACACGCACACGCATACGCAACCTGACAAACGCAACTTGACAAACACACACACATGCACTCACATATACACACGCGCATAAGCAACCTGACAAACACACACACATATACACACACACATACGCAACCTGACAAACACCCACACGCTTACGCTGCCTACACATATACACACACGCATGCTTTTTTTTCCATCCATTACTACTGCATAGCTCATTGGGAGCTCTACACTTGTAGCCTTATGCCAGACTAGATCGAGCTGAACACCCCCACACATTCAGTCATTTTGTAAGGACCTGTAAGTCTCGTAGCATGCATTGATGTATCTTTATTACAGTATGCATGCGTAAATGTTGACCTAAGTTTTGTCGCTCCTGCATCAGACACCAGCTAATCTCGGGGAATCAACATAAGAAGTTGGTTCTCTCTCTCTCACTCTCTCTGTCTCTGTCTTTCTCTGTCTCTCTCTGTCTCTCTCACTCTCTCTCTCTCTATATATATATATATGTGTGTGTGTGTGTGTGTGTGTGTGTGTGTGTGTGTGTGTGTGTGTGTGTGCCTGTGTCTGTGTCGCCTAACTGACTTCTGCTTTTTTTCCAATTCAAAGCATTATCAAGACGGCCTGTTGTTCGTTGGTGAATTATCTAGTTATTTTTGAGTTCATGCCTTCCTAAACTGCGCATACTTATAAATCTTGTGAATTTATTTGCATATTAATCTAACTCAAATAATTCATATTTTCTCGAAATTAACAGACAGACAAACATGGATAAACAGACAGATAGATAGATAGATAGATAGATCTGAGCAGATTGATAGATCTGGCTGGCTAGCTAGCTAGCTATCTATCTAGCTAGATAGATAGATAGATAAAGCTTAACTGATTGAGATAGATCTGAACTGACAGGTAAGAAAAGTTTTCTGCGAAAAAATCACGTAGACATATTTGGTCATTAATGTTCGAAAAAACTTATATATACTTTATATAAGTGTACTTTTTATCTACCCACATACACCCTTTTTTATGCCGTTCATGTTCACTTTCTCTCTCTCTGTTCTCTCTCTGTGTCTGTCTGTCTGTCTCTCTTGGCAAATACCCGTATACAAGGGGCGCTGCGAATTTCTCGGCCTAACCGCAAAGGGGTTCCAAAATTAAATTTTGATGTTTGGTCATTTAGTCTCGGATCGAGAACTTTTCACTATCATCAAGTACAAATGCAGTAAAAAAGAATGTTGCGTTTCTATCTAGTGCGATGGTCATTAACTGAAACTTTTTCGCACTGTTAGTCTATTCAATCTTTTACTATATCCATGTTCCAGACAAGACCAAGCCAAATAAGTATCCTCATGTAAAGTGAGCTAGAAAAAGGTCTTTAATTTTCAAAATACCGTATAAACTCGCGTATCATGCGACTTTTGAAGACCTAATTTTAAAGCTAATTTTTAGGGGGTCGCATCATACATCAGATATAAAATTAGTGTATTTACTACTGGCCCTGGTTACGCCGTTGACCAAAAAATATATATCCATTTACTGTAGTCAAATTAGCTTCAAAATTAGGTCTTAGCGAGTATATGCGGCAAAGTTTTTTAAAATTTTTAGATTTAAATCTATTTTTAAATCTGGCTCGCACGCAAAAATAAAGTAGAAATTTACGAGAAACTGTTCATATTGTAAAAATAATTTTTTTTAAAAAAGCAAGAACAATTTAATACTTACATTCTAAACAGTTGTTAGCATCTGCGCTCCCATCAAGGGCTACAATAATAGTTCTTCCAGGCATTGTACAAAAAAAATGATTCCGTTTGAGAAATTTTTTTTTTTGACAGACGCGAAAATCAGAATAAGGAACCAGAGCAGGAGAAATGTTTGCCAGTTGCAAAGAAAAATTCCCTGACTGAATGAATAAGACAACTACGGAGTAGGAAGTGATTGGAGGGTCACAGTATGAGGAGAAATATATAAAGGTGAAGAAAAGAGCAGGGCGGGGACGGAATTGTGTAAGGAGAGGGTTTAGATTGGGCTTGCTTTAAAGAAAGGTACGGTGGTAAGAAAATGCACAAGACAAGAAAGACAGAGAAAATTATAGAGAGGAAAATAAGAAAGAAAGAAAGAAAGAAAGAAAGAAAGAAAGAAAGAAAGAAGAAAGAAAGAAAGAAAGAAAGAAAGAAATAGAGAGGGGGCAGATTATAGTAAGGCCGATGACAAAAGACTGGATTGCATTTATAGAAGAGAAAAAAAGAAAAATAGAAAGAGGGAACTGCTAAAAGCCAGGGGTAGAATGAAATAGAAAGGGAGAAAATTTAAAGTACACAGAATAGATAGATAGATAGATAGATAGATAGATAGATAGATAGATAGATAGATAGATAGATAGATTAAAAGGAAATAAGAGAGAGACAAAAATAGCTAGAAAAAGAATAGGAAAATGCAGTGAAAAAAATAAGGTGGAATAATAAAGAAAGAAAGAAAGAAAGAAAGAAAGAAAGAAATTAAATTGACGAAGTTGGAAGATATAATAGAAATAGACTAATGATAGAAGAGGGAGTGGGGAGAACAATTACAGAGATGAATAAATATAGCGAAAGAGAGAGAGTGAGAGGGGGTGAGAGAGAGGGAAAGAGAGAGCGAGAGGGAGGTTGGAGAGATTATCAACCAGAAAGATATTGAAAGACTTCACTTACACAGGGAGGAGGGGAAGGAGGAGGAGAAGAAGAAAGAGGAGGAGGAGGGGGAGAAAAAAGAAGAGAGAATTTTTGCAACAAGAGAGGGAAAATAAGGGAAGATCAAATATTATAAAATAGAGGACACCAACTCTAGGCTCAAATATTATGATAGTAGCAGCAAGCCAATGAAAAAAGCCCGGCCCATTTGTCCTAAATACGAACAACGCCTGTTGTATTTCCATATACGCTCTAATATACAGTTGCAATATTCTTCATTCATTCATGGCAGAATGTGAGTCGTCTGCTGCTGCTGCTTCTTTACACTAAAAAACACAGAAACGTCTGTATATGTGAATTTTAACTAGAAGTTATATTAAGGAATTTTATTAGGAAAAATTAAAAGAATAGAGTGTCGCTTTCTTTTTCCTTAAAAATATATCGCTCACTTTTACACTAATAATCCTATCTCTGTCTCGGAGTGATCGGAAGTTCGATTAATTCGCCAGGAGACTGATCTCTTCGTGTTACGTGTGTCTGTCCACAAATCTAATTCTAAAATGTTCTAGATTACTTCAACTAAAAAGTGTTAATTGTAACGGCGGATTTTTACACTTTACTGTGCACTGAAGGTAGACAATGATTAGAATAAAATAGTTAACTAAATGAAATTGACTAAAATAGTGATGCACTATCGTCACAATATTTTGACAGGTGCACCTCAGACCTCATCGAACAATTGGATCACCGTAATAATTGAACTATATTGTTATTAGTTTACTGTTATTTGTAAATTAGGTTGAATATAATTGCTTACTGAATGCAGACCTAGCACAATAATATATAAGATTATTTATTTAAATGATTAGCTGTTATTCTTAGGTTTTCTTTGAATTCATTCTTCGGGTTTGATTTGATTTGATTTGTTTAACGGTATATCAACTCCTTATAGGTCATCTAATACCGACATTTAATGTTTTTGGGAGCTAGATTTGAAGCAATAAAAATATGATATATGTTATTCTGCTTTCACAGTTGAAGACATGGTAGATGATACTCAGCTTTTGTGCATATACACGTTTGTGTGGACAAAATTTGTTAGAGGCGGTGATAGGTGTTGTTTATGTGGTAGTTTTTGTTGAAGTTATATTTTGTAATACAATTTGATTTTTTTAAAGAAATTGTAGGATATTATATGGATTAATGCCATGAAAGAATTCTTTCATGTTGGTTGTTTGGTTGATTTTGTTTAGCGGCATATCAACACCTCTATGGGTTATTTAATGCCGAAATCTAAATATTTTGAACACAATTTTTATGGCTTCAACTAAATATATTTTGAACGCAATTGTATGCCTTCAACTACAGATAAAATGTATTGTTGGTCATTTTACTATAAATATGTATTGTTGGTCATTTTATAATATAAAATTGTATTGCTGGTAATTTTACTATAAAAATGTAATTTTATGCTGTCATAGTGTTTTGTTTTTGTCTGGAGTTTGACTATTTGCCTATAGCTGGTATTCTAACAGGTGCTACCACCCCAGGTCAGGGTGGACCTGGGAACAGCAGCAATTAAGAGGTGGTCCCATGCCCCCCAAAACCTCTAATGTCCCAATCAGAGGCCTTGCTGTCTGATGCTATTTATCGTCATACCCAGGACTGCTTCATTCTTTGTCAACGCAATTATCAGCACTGTGCCCGTGTTTATCAAATCCATTTAATCAACTGCTTTATTTAAATCGTTGTCTCCCCCAAGGACTCGTCCTGGGTCTGACGATAAAATACATCCGTGTCCTGTGTAAGATGATAAACTACGTCCAACAGCAAGGCTTCTGATCAGGAGGTTTTGAGGAGCGTGGAACCACCTCTTAATTTCTGGTGTTCCCAGGTCCACCCATGTTCAGGGTATGACGATAAACTACATCTGCGTCCTGAGTAGGACGGTAAACTATGTCCAACAGCAAGGTCCCCTGGTCAGGAGGTTTTGAGGAGCGTGGAACCACCACTTAATTGCTGGTGTTCCCAGGCCCAGCCTGACACCTGTTAGAGTCCCAGCTATGGGCAAATAGTTAACACCCAAACTTGGGTCAGAACACTATGAAAGTGTAAAAATAAGGCTTATTACCAGAAATACTCTGTAAAAAAAAAAAAAAAAAAAAAATTACCAGCAATACATTTTTGAAAAACAAATATTACCAGCAATACATTTTTTTTTTAAAAATTACCAGAGAAGGAAAATTCTTACCAGAAATAGATTTTTGAAGGAAAAATATTACCAGAAATAGATTTTTGAAGGAAAAATATTACCAGAAATAGATTTTTGAAGGAAAAATATTACCAACAATGAAAATTTTGTTGGCATTAAATAACCCATTTGAGGTTGATATGCCGTAAAACAAACTATACCAAACCAATTCTCAAAGACTATGCACCCTGTAAACGGTAGTCAAGCCAAACTTTTATTAAGGATTTTAGAAGAATTTTCTTTTCTTTTTTTTGTTACCCGGGTTTCATATCAGTTATTTTAAGTTTTGCAAGTAAACGAATAAGCTGTTTACAATGGAACCGGTGGATATTTAAGAATCATTTTATGTTGATTCTAAGTGACACAAAAGCTTTTTTCATCTAAGACTCCACTCCACGCGTACGTGGATGGGGAATAAGAATTGTCCAGTTCCCTCAGGGAATATCCCTACCTCCACAAGTTCTACTATTGAATCCATAACTGGGGGGATAAGGGGTGGAGTCATACCTTTTCCAATGATATCTTGTTTTCTAGTCAATTTTGATCTTCAAAGTTTAAATCCAAAGTTAATCGTTATCTTCTATCTCATTGACTCCTGTTCTCTGATCACTGAAGTTAAGCAACATCGAGTACATAGATGGGGGACTGCTTACGAATACATGATGCTGGATTGGAAATCGGAGAACTGAGTTCCAATTTCAACCGAGTTCGTTATATTCACTTACGTGCGAAAGGCATGAATCCACTACATTTGCCCCCAAGCTATGAGTTAATTAGTAGGAGTCCCATTAGAAGATCCTTATTATCTCCAAAAAATTCTTATAATTAAAAAATATTTTATGCAACAGGTTGAGAAACCGTAAAAAACAAATTAACCAATCAAATTAACCGAGGTTTTCCCAAACACATAAATTGCTATCATCTACTCTCTGGGTTTATTTTCTTTTAAAAGTGTCAGATTTATTTGTTAAAATATCTTTACTTAAATGGCCACTAATTATTGAGACATTGTTAATTTTTTAGCAGGAGCCGAGGTTTAATTCTTGTTTCCAGTTTAGGATTGGGTTTCCGGTTGCTTTTAAAGTCTTTTCCTTCTCTTTGACTCCCAGTTGCCCTTCGCATCTTAGTGGCATCATCGCCTTGCTTGGGGTGAATTGATTAAAAAAACTTTTATTCGAATTTCACTTGAGCAACATCAGTACTAGCAAACAACGCAATTTCAGGAATAAATTAAGTGTGTATATATATATATATATATATATATATATATATATATATATATATATATATATATATATATATGTGTGTGTGTGTGTGTGTGTGTGTGTGTGTGTGTGTGTGTGTGTGTTAAATATATATTTCATTTTATATGCATGGTACTTATATGTACCTGCGTCTAGTATGAATTGCTTATATGGATGTGTTGGTGTGAACGAAAATGCGTACACCTGTATGTATGTGTTATGTGTCTATGCGTATGATAGTACCACCCCAAACAAACACAGAAGTAGATTCCCCCTCCCCCACCAAACACAGTCAAACAAACAAAAATAGATCCAATTTTAAAATATAAAACAGTTTGTCTGATGATCGCAAAAACGTGAAACTCAGGGTCACAAACTCATATCCATACAACTTATATATATATATATATATATATATATATGTGTGTGTGTGTGTGTGTGGATAGATAGACAGATATAAAGGTGTATTTAGGCAGGAAAATTATTTTAAACAAGTTTTGTTGAGCAATATCAATAAGGTCTGCCTATACCAATTGATTCTCAACTGCGTGATCTTCTTAAGTGTAACGCAAAATATTATCAGCTGAAGAAGAAATGAGTGTCTGCTTATCGGACATTCGACCAAGAATGAAATCGCGAAAAAACACCAGGCACAGGTTTCACACTAAATAAGCTGCACAAATTGAATAGAAACATTGAAATAAAGTTCATATTTGTGTGTGTATTTTTTTAAAAATGGTTTTATTTCATAACATTTAAATGTCTACCCTTTAAAAATTTTGCTCAGTGTGCTGTGATATTTTCATTTGTTCCTAGATTTGCCATTTCTTAAAAAGGTTGAGAAATACTGGTCTATACAAATTTTATTTAAGTCTTTGAAATTTCGAATAAGCTAATTTATACAATCAGTAAACTTTCAAAAGTTCATTTTTCCCCGAGTACTTTCGAATGATGCTACATTTGTTGTCAAGGATTTCGTCTTTTTATGAAACTGTTTTTGGCTAATTCCGGTGTTACTTCGTTTACAACGAACTTTGTTATATATATATATATATATATATATATATATATATATATATATATATATTTTAAGACATTTTTATGTTATACATTCTTTTATAGATACAAATATTTAAGTAAATGCTCTGTTTATAATAAACAGTATTAAACAACATTCACCGGCCTGAATGTCCGAGAAATTTTCACAGATGAATATTCGTCCTCCGATACGGAATCGTCATTTAGCTTGACGTGCCTTTACCGATTTGGCCACAGAGGAGCGTTCGGTTAGCAAGGTCGAATTTGTTAACCGAACGCTCGGTCGATGGTAAATTACTGGCGAGTAAAAGATTATTTTAACTTCAGAAGCAGACTACATCCTCTATTTTCGAAAAAAAAAAAAAAAAAGCAGAATTAAAAAGAGTCTTGTGGGTTTTATCGTGATTAACCAATCAAATGTGACCAGCGCTAAATTCAAATTAATCGAAAAATTTTTTTTATATAGGTCATGACATGAAGTTGTCTGCATACAAATCCTAGACAATTACATTCAGGAGAGATAGATAGATAGATAGATAGATAGATAGATAGATAGATAGATAGATAGATAGGAATACTAGAATAAAAAATAAACATTACAAATTTTATGTTTGATTTACTTTTCTTTCTCTTTGCTTTTTGCTTCTCTTTTTCTTCTTCACTTTCTCTTTGTCTATCTCTTCAGTTTCTCCCTCTTCTTCACTTTTCTCCCCCCCTCTCTTTTTTTTCACTTTCTCTTTTTCCTTTGGCACTTCGGCGAATCTAATCTAATTGACTGTAACTACTGAGTAGTGAATTCGATCCTCATTGGATGTCATTCATTTGCCTAATTATATATATATATATATATATATATATATATATATATATATTCAAGTAGAATGAGAACAAATGGAGTATAATTTCACTGAACGTAAGGTTCAACATTTTTAGTGCTGAAACATGATTGTAATTGTGTAGCAATTTTTGACATGTTTTAGTTTTACGGTGGAGTAATGGATAACGGCTCGGATTGAGAAATTGGAGAGCCGAGTTCGAATTCTAGTCGAATCCATTACATTCACTTACGCGCTAATACCCTTGGGAAAGGTACGAATCCTCTTCTTCTCCCCACCCGGCTATGGGTAAATAGCAGGACAGACCAGGTTCTATAGCCTTGGATCGCAACTGATCTACCGCAGAAAGAAATGGCAACTTACTGCGGGAAAAAATTTGCTTCATCAGTTATGTATCAAAAGATCGTCTAAGCCTGTATCACGCATGGCACATAACTAATTCTAAAATACACACACACACACACACACACACACACATATATATAAATATAGCAGTATATATATAAATGTCTTAAGAAATATATATATATATATATATATATATATATATATATGCATGCATGTGTCGGATAAAAAATATATATACACGCATATATATTTGCACATACGTATAAATATATTTGTTCTACACAGACTTATAAATATAGTGTTCAATGTTATGAAACAGAGCTATAAGTATATATTAGTGAATATAGATAATATCCAACGTCGATAGAGAGTTTCATGTAGTTGCTGCAATCTTCAGTTATACATACATAAGAAAACAAAAATAAAAACATTACAATTTTTATGTTCGATTTACTGTATTCTCTCTTCACTATTTGTTTCACATTCTCTTATATATATATATATATATATGTGTGTGTGTGTGTGTGTGTGTGTGTGTGTGTGTGTGTGTGTGTGTGTGTGTGTGTGTGTGTGTGTGTCTCATATATTTTATTTTATATGTGCGGTACTTATATGTATCTGCGCCTAGCCTCGAATTGCTTATATGAAAGTTTCTGGGACACATAATGAGGAAGGAGGGCCTGGAGAATCTGATTCTCCCGGGTCGAATAGAGGGAAAGAGAGACAAAGTAACGCGTGACATACCTGGCGGGCTTGAGCAGGTGGATGACAGAACGTGGTCTGGGGTTAGGAAGCAGAGGGAAGGAACTTGTTGAGAGCTGCAAGGGGTAGGGGAGGTGGAGAGCCATGCTCGTCTACGTCCTGAAAGGACATGCCACATAAAATGAAGTCTGGTTGACTACAAACACTGAGTAGTGTATTTGATCCTCATCGGGTACCCTATACTATGTTGACATTAAATAACCTAAGAAAAATCGGTCAACTAAATATTCTTTTTCTTTCTTTTATTTTCTCTTTCTCCTTTGTGAATTTTTTTGGGGGTTGGGGGCATTTTACTTTCCTCTCTTCCCCCTTTACTTTCTCTCTCTTCTTGTCTCTTTCTCACTCTCTCTCTCTCTCTCTCCCTCCTTCCACTTTGTTCTTTTCTTACACTTCTTCTAATTCTATATGTTATAAGTATTTACTCAGCTCGTGAGTCTGGTACAAGGCTACCATAGTGGCGTATCCTATGAGGATAGAATTACCTATGCTAGTGCATTGCATGGTAGGACTAGCTTGCTAACCATTACTCCACAGCAAGACGCTTCAAATCTATGCGTTATACATAAACAATGATAAACATATCAACGCGCCAAGAAGCCGACGACAAATACGTGGGCGTTCTCTCCAGCCACTTGTAAGCACTTCTCGACTCGCCTATTTCTACTTCAGGCATTCGTAACCTATTTTGTGGGCTGTTTATTTTTCGCAATAAAATGGCTGGTCACTTGTATTGGCGTATGCCTGAAACTTTTCGCAATAAATGTCACAAATGAATGACACTCTTAGACTGTATTTGTCAAGCAGACGTAATGTTTCCATACACGCACGCTAATTTGATAACATGCACTCACGGAAATATGACATATAAATGAGTGTTTTGTGAAATCAGCAGGCCAACGACTTACAGAATGCAAATAACCGATGTGTTAAACGTAAAAGAGACATTTTTTACGACGCCATTCAAAACGTAATGCCTTTTAGATTTATTTAAATCAGTGGTTCCCAACTGATTTGAAGCCATGCCTCACTTTGGTATTTCTAAAATTCTGGCGACTCCCCTGTAATATTTAATTCTAACATATTCAAAATTTTACTGCAATTCACATGAAGGAAGCTTAAAAGGCCATTAACTTGGTCTCTGAACAAGCCTCCAAAGACAATGGCGTCCATGAAAGAGAAAAATAAAAAAAACAAAACAGTATTTACATTAGTCGGACTATTGTCCTCATCTTTGTCGCCATATTTGTCACAACGTTTCGGCCGTTGTACGCTCCGGCCTTCTTCAGGTGGTTGGAATTTCGAACTGAACCCTTTATTTCGATCACTGGGGTAGACTGTTCGAGTTCCACGTGCCATGTTTGATGGATGTCAGTTATCAGTTATCTCCTGCTAATTTTTCCTCTGAAAGTTCTCCACTGCCTTAACCGGGTATTGAACTCACACTCTTTGGGTCTGTCACTGGATCTAACCAACGCCTTTATCCACTGTGTCATGTGTCCTTGAGGACACATGGCACAGTTAATTATATATAGTTTCAAAACATATTCAAAACATATAATAGATAATTGAAAGGCAGAAATATAAAATATTTGAATGAAATCTTATTCTGTAATATACTTTGATCTTTTTAATCATGAAATAATAATGCTAAATGAAATTTGAGCTCACGTTGATATAGTAAGCCGAAGGTTGCACATCCTACGCATGCCTCACCAAAATATTACTATGTCCCACCAGTGGCGCATGCGCATCACGTTGAGAATCATTGATCTAAATATATTAATAAGCATTGCTATGGTCTCTTTATCTTTATTATTTTATTTCTATTTAATTTACTTTATTTATTTATTTATGTATTTTAGATATAAAACAGTTTCTGGAAGCTCAGGAGGAAAATTTGTGGACATTTCTTTTTCTACCCATAATCCACTTTCAAATGGCTGCCGCTTTAGATACACACTGAAAACAAAGCTCTGTCAAAGAATTTGTTTTTAGAAGAAGAAAGTGCCGCAAGAATTCACATGAGGTTAGTGATGTTTATAAAAAAGCTGTATTTCACAGTAAGGATGTGTGTCGACAGAGTTAATGACCATCCTAGATAGAGATAGGAGAAAATTATCTTGTTGGCAAGCCCTATAGTGGCAAGCTAGCTACTGCTGTGAATAAGGATAAGCCCAAAGCGGCTCATGCTGCTATCGCAGTAAAACTCTTTGAAAGCCTTCAGGTGAGCCGTGACAATTTAGTGTAGTCTCGTGGCTAATCAGGAGCCTGTGCAAAGCGGCTTCTCAGAATGCTCTCAGACTCCGTGAAGGAGCAAAGTTTCCTGAGCTGCGCGACACGGGGAGTACCTTTCATGAAAGTGATACTCAGAGAATAATGGTTATCCAATGATAGTAAGGTGAGAAAAGGCAACTCGTAAAGCGCTAAGAAAACAGTTAAGTGGGTATACATGTCCTCATTCAAAGATGGAAGGACATGAGTGAAAAGGAAGGAGACTCTTTCGAGGACTAGATTTAAAATTGTGAAAGTTTTGTTCATTGCAATATGTTTTTGCTGCTTCTACGATTAAATTCTTGTAATTAAATAGCGGGCATTTTTTGACCGACCTTTGTAACTTTCACCTTCATCTTCTTGAATCTGTAAACTATTCATGAAGTATAGCACATACCGACAAAGAAGGAAATTATAAACTATTTCTACGTACACACACACACACACACACACACACACACACACACACACACACACACACACACACACACACACACACACACATGAGTACACCCGCCCCAATTTAATCCTTGTATAGTAAACGTTTTGGGACTGTCATTAAGGTCCAATAAAAATAGAATTCCTGGCACTTGAACTACTTAACACTTACTGCTGTGAAAGTATTAAAACTTTGTTGTTATGAAGTACTTAACACTTTGTTATCATTACCAACGGTCACTGAACTGTGATACTCCAAATCTTCAACAAAAATGTTATGATCATCAATTTTTGGTACAAAAATGACTATGCCTGATCACGTGATCATAATCAACCAGTCAGATTGCATTTTAAGCAGATAGAAAACTTTTTCGGGCATAGAATGGAAAGATTTCTCCAACTCCAGTCAGATATGAAAAGGATCATGGCATAGCTATACATCTCTCCATCTCAATTTAACTTTGGATAATTGTAGAACCAGTAGAGTTACACCAAATAAATAATCTTAAAGATTCTATTTGCAAATTCTGTTGTCGGGCTCATCTCTCCCCACGTTCTACAAAGTGTTCTCAATTGCGTAAAAAAACCCCAAAACAATTGTCTAATGTACATATGAAACTGATTCAGATTATAAAGTTTAAATTAGGAATATGAGGATTATAATGGCAATGCTTTTCTTCATTCACTAAATATCGGCCTGGGGTCAAAGTGTAGTATCTGTTCTCCTCATCTCTAATGGTAATGATACTATTAGCCGTTTCCTTATAAGGAAACACTAGGTATTCATTGACCGAGCAGACAATGCTGCTCGAGCTAGGATTTTCTCCATTCCTTTAATATCGGCCTCGGATCAAAGTGCAGTATCTGTTCTCCTCATCTCTAATGGTAATGGTACTATTAGCCGTTTCCTTATAAGGAAACACTCGGTATTAATGACCGAGCAGACAATGCTGCTCGAGCTAGGATTTTCTCCATTCCTTTAATATCGGCCTCAGATCAAAGTGTAGTATCTGTTCTCCTCATCCCTAATGGTAATGGTACTATTAGCCGTTTCCTTATAAGGAAACACTCGGTATTAATGACCGAGCAACCAATGCTACCGTCGGTTGAAATTTATAAAACCTTTCTATTAAAAAATCTTTTGAGCAAAATAGGTTTCTCAAGTCCAGTAATTATTACTGCTTTTTCCAGTATTGCTGGATTGTTTCCTTCCTAACCTTTGGTGTGAAATTATGTAGAACATCAACATCATGATTATGTCATTATTTTCTCTTCCAGTTTAATACCCCATCCATTTTAGTTGTTGCTATTGCTGAAAGTCCTCAAATGATATCGTTTCTGTTATTTGGTACAGTTAATTGTTTGTGATTCTGTAGCGCCAGTCCACGAGTTTGGAAGAAAATTTGCCGTCGTTAAGGCCTACAAGCTTCATTCGTTCGAAACAATTTATCTGACAATGTGTTTGTATACAATTGATAGTTTAGATATTTCTGAACAGGTTTGGCGCCATGATGACATCCATATGAAAGTCTCGATCTGACGAGATTATTTAAGAACATGACTCGAGTCTTTAAGTTAATGTTTTGGTTTTGTAGCAACAAGCGGTGTTGTGGGAAACTACCTCTGGTACGGTTTATTCTACGTTCAATTTTCTTATCTCCTAACCTCAGGGGTTTTCGCTTAGCCATAGTTTTTAAGAGATTGTAGTCGTTAAGCATAAATATCTTCATTGACTGCCTAGTTGGTGATGCTCATTGCTACACATTCAGGAAGGAGGAAAAACGTCTCTTTTCTAAATAGTCTACTTTAAATCTTCTCCTTCAATTTTTGGCTGTTGACACTCCAACGAGTCACCTTTTCTGCAGCGATGTTGATGATAATGTCTATAAATGGTTTGAAAAGTTATGCGAATCCATAACCAGTGCCAGATAGGTGAGGCACAATGTCGGTTACGTACCTTTGGAGCGCATGACAAATCCGAGCCATTTGCATATTTATCTCGGTGTTAAAGCAGAGAAATGCCAGACAAAAAGTTGAACTAAAGCATTGTTGATGATACAAAATTTCTTTGTTGATGACAGAAAATATACCAAAAAATGAGGGAGTATAATTTTAAATTCATAATTTTATAAATTTATAATTTTAAAATAAGATTTTGGGAAAAAATTAGTTGTAAAGTTGCACAAATTAATAAAAATACGTGAGTAAATCTCACATACGTAAAATTCTTATTATTCACACCCAAACATCGTCAAGTAATATCAGCGAGTGGGTGTGTGGCCTTGAGGGTTTTCTCCAAACGCAGATCTCCTTCTCACGAAGATGTGAGAGACTATCGGGTGCGGCGCTTACATATCTTCCTATCATCTGGTTAACATCCTAAGCACATCTGGATCGATCATCTGTTTTCACGTCATCGACAGACACTGACATCCTATTAAGTGCGAATCTCTACCTGGTGGTTAGGTGGACATCTTCCAGGGCAATTCTCTGATGCACCTTGTCCATCTAATGATTTGGTGTGACTGAATGCAAAATCTACTTTGGTGTCTCTTATCTCTACTGGGGCCACCACAGATCAACTCCCCTTAGAACAAAGACTCTTTATTGATATTAAGTTCGATTCAGACCATGTGCTATTTTTTGGTGTGAATCACATTCTACACATGTTTTTGTTGATTTCAGTGTTTTAAAAACTGAATTGCATTTTGTTTAATTTACAAGTAACAAAGCTTTTAAAAAAATCACTTTAGGCGTGAATGTAAAATGCTATAGGTTAAATAGTAGGGGAGACTAAGCTTTCTAGACTTTGTTGACAACCAAGAAAACTTTTAATTGTGAACTGTAAAGAACGTTAGAGTAAACTGCTCCACTGCCTTTCACAAAAATTATGGCAATTATCAGGTAATAAAGGAAAGGAGTCGGTGAAGAGTCATGATCGCCCATGCTATGAAGGATCATGGT